CTGCACCCGCCCTGTGCTCCGCCCCGACCCTCCCCAGCAGGGCCCAGCAGCTAACAGTATCAGGGAGACTGAGCTTAGGGCCCTGCTGCCCCCACAGTGGGACACGGCACTGCCATTGACCTTGCATTAAGCACACGGGTCATCCCCTCCCTCTGGGACCTGTCGGGAAGGAAAGCCAGGTCCTCGGGGGGAGCGTGCAGTGCCCCCTGGGGCTCCCGGAGGGCATTTTAAGCCCAATAAATGCTTGAGTAGAACTTCTGTATCGTGAGGCCCCACTGTAAGCCACAGTGTTATCACAGACCCCCCAGCGTGGCCCCAGAGCACACACACACCCGCCACATCTCCTGGTGCCCGGACAAGGGGCCTGGGGTGCCCTTGCCCTGCCCCGAGGGCCCACCCACCACTCCCCCAGATGCTGCGGGTTCCCTCCCTCTCGCCCTGCTCCCACGTGGGCTGTCCCGTGGGCAGGCAGTCCCGGGGCAGGCAGTCCGGGGGCAGGCAGTCTTGTGGGCAGGCAGTCCGGGGGCAGGCAGTCCGGGGGCAGGCAGTCCCGGTTGCTGTGGGCCTCCCCCCGCCGCCTGGGTCGTGGTGCCGGTTCGGTAGGATGCAGGTTGCAGAGGCCACACATGGCCGGGGTCACATCTCTCTCCTCCTCCCCAGGCCGCGTGTCCTTCTTCACCTCGGGGTCCGAGAACCTGCACCGCGTGGAGAGGGTCCACTGGGGCACCCGCTACGCCGTCACCATCGCCTTCACCTGCAACCCCGACCACAGCATCGCTGACCCGGCCTTCACGTAGCACGGGCCCCACGGCGCCCTTGGCCGAGCCCCTCCCCTCTCGTCCCTCCCATGGAACAGGTGCCTTACAATCAGCTGCGTGTGACTGGCTAACGTCTCGGTTGTTTCACCTGCGAGTAGGGAGCCAGCCTTCTCCCCGCCCTGTGTCTGCTCTGGGTGCTGGGGGCACGGCCCCTCCCTCAGGACGGCTCCCTGTGCCCAGGTCGGAGTCCCATCGCCTGGGACGATGCCCTGTGGGGCCACAGCTCCCTCGGGAAGGTCCCAGTGAGCAGGGCCTGGAGCCCAGGACCTGAGACACCAGCCGAGGCGTCCCGTGAGGACACCCTCCCAGAGTCCAGCCCCATGGCCCCGGGCAGGCCTCGGGACAGCAGGCTCACTCCCGGAACCAAATGCACAGCCCGGGACAGCGGTGACACAGCTGCAGCAGAAAGAGCAGCTGGAGGCCGAGCTGGGAAACTGACCCTTAGCCCCCAGGCCCTGGGGCAGGTGCAGGGCACAGGTCACCTCTCTGGTCCACCCCAGCTCCGGGCTTCCAGACCAACCTGGAGCTTCTCACCTTGATCTTGAGTTTCCAGAACAGAAGGTGTAGGGCCCACGGCCAGCCCCGAGCCCCTCGGTGTGGCCCCCATTTTCCCACCGGAAGGGGCCCTGCACAGTCGGGTGGGCTCCGGGACTGGGGCTTTGTCCCCAGAAAAAGGTGGGCCCCCTGTTCGCACCTGCTGCCCCCCCCCCAGGTCCCCACCTCAACACTGCCCCCCGCCCACCGCACACAGCAGAGACCTGTCCTTACCTGGGGGGCTGCAGGGGGCTGTCAGGACTTGTGGGGTGAGGACACGGCCGTGAGATGAGGATGGAGTGTTGGGAGGCCCAGGGCAGACACTGAGGTGCCCCGCCCCCCCTCGGGCCCAGGCCTGGTCCTGGCGGCCTGGGGAGCCTGCTGGCACGGGGCACGCCCGGCGCCTCCGTGTTCCTCCGTGTTTCATGCTGACATAGTTTTGGGGTGAGACACAGGCTCTGGACTTTCAATCACACTCGGGTGCCTGCGCCGCGGGACACAGGGCCGCCTGCCCACTGGGCTGGGGTGCTCCCAGCTGCCTTGCCCTGCGGCCTGGGCGGCCCTCGAGCCCCAGACCCGGCCTCGGCTCTGGAGCAGGAATGCGGGAACTTGGTGACAGTAACGGGTGCGAGCCCTCCGAGGGGGTACCTTGGGGACCAGGGGATGCGTGTGTGGGGAGTGCGGCGAGGGGGAGGGGCTGGACAGGCCCTGAGCTGAGCGCTCACCACCCCACCCACCGGCCTCGGTCTCCAGTCTCGGTGGGAAAGGTGGCCTTTGGGTCACCCCTGGGCCCTCTGGGGCGGCTGGGCACTTGGTGGCCTGGAAAGGCAGCTCCCAGAGCTCCTGGCTGGGGGCCGCTGCCTGGCGTCCTGCGCAGCGTCATCCGTCTGGAATTCCAGTGGAAATCGCTGCCCTGTGTATGGCCCTGGGGCCCTGGGTTCCAGGGGGATGGTTTGTGGGTGCAGGGGCCCCCGGCTAGACTCTGGCCACCTGTCTCCCCCACACGGGACGGGCTCCCACCTTCTGCAGGCCTGCCGGCCGGCCAGGCTCCTGAGCATCCAGGGGAGAGAGGACCCAGCGTCCTGCACCAAGGCTGGCCCTGCCGGTGAGCGCGTCAGAACTGGTGACAGGCATGAGGCGGCCAGGTCTGCACACCAGCTCGGGCCGCCCGGGCAGGGCCATCTCCGCCCAGTGTCACTGTCACTGCCCTGGCTCGGCCGTCACCTGTGCCAGCTGCACCCTCCCCCTAGGAGCCCCGAGGTGAGGTCAGTCCCGGGAGCAGAGCTCCCAGGCAGGTAAACAACAGTGTCCACCAGTTGTAGGTGCAGCTCCCCAAGGAGTGAGTCCCCGAGAGGAGGAGGGAAGGGGACTTGGAGTGTGTCTTTGTGGATGAGTGACTGAGGGTGCAGGGGCCCAGCCTCCAAGCAGCAACTGGGGCTCCCCTGCCCTCCCGCTGGGCCCCTGAAGGTGGGGGTTGGGCTAAAAAGCCCCCTGGGCCATGGCCCTGTCCACCCCAGGCCTGGCAGTGATCAGCTGCCAGACCCAGAGACCGACTGCCTTTGGGCAGGAATGTGCCTGCACCTGGTAAACCCATCACCGGCCACCAGACTGCGGTCCTGGCGCCTGCCTGCTGGCACTGTCTGGGGAGCCACACCTCTGGCTGGGCTGTGAATTCCTGCTTCTGGCTGGGCTCGTCCCCCCACTCCCCCACTCCCCCACTCCCCTCCGGGAAGGCAAGGCAGTGGGTGGGTCCCCGGTGAGGGACTCCGTTCACGCATTCATCCTTTTATTCATTCTCCCCGCCAGGTGCCAGGCCCTCCACCGTCCTGCTCACAGGCCCAGCACCACCCAGCTCCCATTTTTGCTTGGGGAGGACTGAGGGTGGGGACAGGGATGGGGGGGGGCTCCAGGCGTGGCACCCTGCTCCTCTCCTGATTCCGCTGGGCACCCAGTCCCAGCCAGTCCCATCCGGCCCCATCCGGCCCCTGGTGCCCACGGTCATCCAGCCCGTCCCGCAAAGCCGCCCCCACTAGCCCAGCCTCCCGGGAGCCATGGAGCAGAGGACATTGATGAGACACTCCTCTGAATGGTCAGTGTGTCCAGGGCTCCCGTTCCTCACAGGAACACTCACACACACGCTCAGCACAGCCTTGCTCCTGATTGGCTCGTGTCCCCCTGGAGGTCGCAGACGGCAGTCCATCCGCCTGCCATTTACCAACATCCTCAGGTCTATCCCATGACCAGTCCTTCGGGCGTCGCCTTTGTAACTCAGAACGCAGCGCCCCCCGCCTGGTGTCCACGTCATAACCCACCGGACACGGCGTGGGGCCTCCGGTTCCTAAACTGATGCTGAGACCGGCACCTCCCCTCAGACCTGTCGCCCCATCGGACTGTAGGGCAGACCCAGCAGCGGGAGCGCCGGCCCCGTCAGACCCTGACCCGCCTTCGACGCGCAGCCGTGCGCGGGGTCCGTCCTGCCTGCCTCCGGTGTCTTGCTCTGCGTTGGGTTTAGGTGACTCGTGACATCTAATGTATCGCTCTCTTCCTCGAGGGCCTGGGTTCTGGGCTGGCTTCCCAGCCCCCCTCCTCACTGGGAGGACAGTCGCTGTGCGTTCCGTCCCCTTTTCCGGACTCGATGACCCAGACGCTCCCTGTGGAAGGCGCCTCGTCCCGGCCACATTCCCGGGTCCGATGGTCTCCTTCCCGAGCCCAGCCGCCCGCCAGGGTGGCCAGGGCCTCAGAGGACGCCACGCTGGCCCCGGCTCCTGACCCCGGGCCTCACTGCTTTTCTGGGTGACCTGCACTCCAGCAGGGATGGACAGACACCCTCCCTCCACATGCCCCGGGGGAACTGAACATTGGAGACTGACCCGGAAGCTTCTAAAGACCCGGCGCAGCCCGAGCACCCCTGCGGTGGACAGCAGGGGGGCCTGGGGCAGCGGTCAGGGGCTTCGTGAGCACTGGACGCCCACTGCCGGGGGCTGAGCCTGGCTTTGGGGTTTTGCTTCTTCATCCGCAGGTCTGGGTGTTGGTGGATGACGTTTAAGTGCCGAGAGAACTCATCCATCACCCTGGGCTCCCTCGGCCTCCGTGTGCTCCTCTGTCGGACGGCAGGCAGCCCTCCCGTCCCCGCTGCTGACCAGCTGCCCTGGAGCCAGGGCTGGACGCAGACGGAGCGTCCCCTCCCCCGACCCTCCGTTCCCACACCCTCCACTGGCCCCCCTGCCCAGGAAGAGGGGGCCCTGGCAGTGCCTTCCCAGGGACAGGGGGCCCGGGCAGGGGACAGGCCAAAGGGTTGCAGATGGTCCACAGAACCAAGGTGGTCAAGTGACCATGGCCACGATGACCTCCTCACTCTTGGGCCCTGCTGGCTGCCCCTCCCATGGACGTGCTCAGGAGGGACAGCCCAGGTTCAAGGGCCCCCTCCCCAGAGGAAGGTGGGGTGCAGCCGATGCTCCCTCCCCCGGCCTGTGGCGGGCACTGTGCTGGCCCCACCCAGGCTGCCCGCAGCGCAGTCCTGCAGATGTGACAGCGTCGCTGCCACGGGGCCGTCAATAACCCGAGTTTACAGGGAGCGGCTGCTCTTTATTTTAAGAGCGCTTGTGCCCGCGGGAGGGCGCGGCCTGGAACATCAGTGGCAGAGGAAGGGGCTGTCGGCAGGGATGGGGCTGCGAGGGGCCATGGCCACCCCACCCGCACCCGGAGCTCAGGTGCAGACCCGGCCCGGGCGGCGCCGGCGGAAGTCCCGGAAGTGCCTGGTGAGCAGCGTGTAGAGGAAGGGGTTGAGGCAGCTGTTGCCGTAGGTGAGGCAGGTGGTCAGGTAGTTGGCGAGGCGGGCGCCGCGGGCCGGGAGCGGGACCCCGCGGTACTGCGCCAGCAGCTGCCACGTCCAGAAGGGCAGGAAGCAGGCCCAGAAGAGCAGCACGATGGCCAGGACGAGGCGCAGCACCCGGGGGGCGGGCAGCCGCCGCGCCCGCGGGAAGGAGGCCCGCTGCGCCCGCCAGTAGGCCCGGGCCAGGCGCGCGTGCAGCAGCCCGATGGCCAGGCCGGGGCCCACCATGCTGGTGCCGAAGAGCAGCGTCAGGTAGGCGCGGTGGGTGCGCGGGCCCCAGGCCGGCCGGCAGACGCCCTTGCCGCCCCTGGGCACCAGCCGCACGGCCAGGGCCATGGGCAGCGCCAGCAGCAGCGCCAGCAGCCACGCGCCCAGTGCCAGGGCCTTGCGGTAGCGCCCGGGCCTGCGTGCCGCGTCCAGCGGCCTCAGCACGGCTGCGCAGCGCTCGCCACTCAGGAGGGCCAGCGTGAAGCTGCTGGCGTGCATGGTCAGCAGGTCCAGGCTGGGCAGCACGCGGCAGCCCGCGTCCCCGAAGTGCCACTCGCGGGAGACGTAGGTGGCCACCACGAAGGGGACGCTGAGCAGGTAGAGCAGGTCGGCCAGCGCCAGGCTGACCACGTAGACGCGCAGAGAGGCCGAGGCGCGGGGGAAGCGGCCCAGGACCACCAGGACGTACACGTTGCCCGCCACGCCCACCGTGCCAATGGCCAGGAGCACCACCCCAAGAGCGCCTGTGGCCACCTGGTCCTCCAGGGAGCTGGGCCCCGCGGAGCTGGCCCACGAGCTGTTCAGGGACGCGTTTAGGCTGCCGGGTGGCTCGGCCGTGGGACCGCCCCTCGCAGCCAGGATGGGGGACCTGCTCGCGGGCTCCGGGCTCAGGGCCATCCCTGCAGAGAGGTCACCGTGTCCTGCAGGAAAAGGTACCCATTACGGGTGCAGATCAGCCCGGCAGCGTGGTTCAGTGGTTGAGCGTCGACCTATGAACCAGGGGTTCACACAGACACATGCCCAGGGTGGCGGGCTCGATCCCCCGAGTGGGGCGTGCAAGGGGCAACGGGTCAGTGATTCTCATCATTGATGTCTCTCTCTCTCCCGCTCCTTTCCTCTCTGAAATCAATAAAAATGTATTTTGCTGCCCTGCGGGTGCTGCACCTGTAACACCAGGGCACAGAGGAAGTGGCTATTTCTAGGCTCAGTGCTCAGTGGGCGCTAAGAATGGTCTGTAGCCTGACATTCCTGGAGGAAAAAAAGTTTTTTAATCGATGCTCTATATTCAATTTAATTTTTAAAAAACTCAGGAAGTTGCATCCCTCAGATGTCTGAGGATTACCTTCATAAGAAAAAAAAGGCTTAAAACATGGGAACACTTAACGGAGGGGAGGCCCTTGGAGGGCCCACATCCACACCCGGTGACACTGGCTCCCGGCTTTCCCCTCTGCATCCAGGCTGACGACCCACCGGCAGCACCTGGGCCCCCAGTGCGGGGCCTGGGGTGCAGGACACTGCCCAGGACCCCGCGCAGCCAGCAGGGGACCCCTCCACCCTGCTGAGTCCCGGAGCCTCCCCACGGGGCTGCCGAGAAGCTGAGCTGCATGGGTGGGGTCCCAGCACCCGGGAGGCGCCTCGCATCTCCAGACGGCTGCTGGGGACCGCGCTCCGGAGCCCCTGGAGCCCCCAGAGCGACACGAAGCCCCGCTGAGCCCACGCACACACTTGCGGCTCCAGGGACCTCCATTGCCCCGACTCCACACCCCACCCCGCACTCCACACCCCACCCCGCACCGCACCGGATGCCCCGCGCGCTCACCTCTGTCACCGCGAAGCAGGTCGAGCTCCTGCAGCCACGCAGGGGTCGTGAGGGTCCCAGACTCGTGACTGAGGGGAGTCCGGCTGCCGTCCCGCCAGACAGCGAGCTGAGCGCCCTTCCTGATCTGGGGGCTCCCGCCAGCCGGCCGCTGGGACTGCACCGCTGCCTGCGCCAGCCGGATGGGAATGGATATTAATAACCGGGCGGGGGTGCCAGGAGAGGGCGGGGAGAGGGCGCAGGACCGAAGGGAGACGGGCTGCCGGTGCTGGAGAAGCAGGAAGGGGCAGGAGGAGGGTGGGGGGAGCACCGCAGAGGGACACTGTGGGGGCGCGGGGGTGGGGGCACGCTGGGCGGCGCCAGGACTGCAAGGTGCCCAAGGCTCTGACCAAGGGCAACAGGGCGCGGCCTTAGCGAGGGTCTGATGAGACATTGATGAGACTGTGGGGTGGCAGCTGATGGGGTGCAGTCACCTCCAGACCCGCTCCCTCTCCCCGGGGTGTCTGCACCCCACCCCCAACACCTCTGGACCTGGAGAGGGTTGAGACCCAGGCTGGGCCTCTGCCCAGTGGCCTTCATGACATTCACAATGTTGTGCAACCATCGCCACGATCCATTTCCAAACCCTTCTCATCCAAAAAGAAATTCTGTCCCCTTTAACACCAGCCCCCGGCCCCGCCCCTGGCCCTTGGGGACACCCTCCTGGCTGTCCCTGCACATCTGACCCTCCAGGACCTCGGTGCTGGACTCTGCAGGCTCTGAACTTCCCTGCCTGGCTCCCTCCCTTGGCACCGCCCCCTGGCTCAGCCGCCTGCAGCCAGCGGAGTCGCCTTCTTTCCAAGGTGGAACCCGGGTCCCTTTTCGGATGGACCGGTGTTCGTTCACCCCCTCGGTGGACATGGACTGCTTCCACCTTTGCCACCGTGACCAGTGCTGCTGCTTTCGTAACTGCCTGGTCCTTTCATGCATGACATTTAGCAGCCCTGGGACTCCGGGCACCACCACGACCCGTGAGACGGCTGGAGTCACCCCTCCGAAGCTCTGGACAGGTGCGCTCAGCGGGTCTCAGCGGGCAGGGGACTCAGGCCGACCGGCCTCACCGACCAGGTCACGCCCAGGTCACTCGGAAGCCTCCAGGAACCCAGCGCAGGTCAGCGGCTGAGGGGCCCAGCCGGACATGAGCCCACAGGGCCCCATCAGGACACACAAGGACAGCATCCACCAAGAGCGGGGGCGGCTCCCCACCCTCCAGGACTGCTTGGTTCCTGGCTCCCGTCCGACTCCCCAGAACCTCAGGCCACGGCCGTCTCCCAGGGGCACTGGCACAGGGGGGAAGGGCAGATCCTATGAGGCTGGAGCCACCAGACCGTGGGTGCTGAGCGCTTCATGCCCAGAAGCGCCCCTGGGAGGCTGAAACGCAGAGCGAGATTTTCAAGTGCACACAGCACTGCCTTCTCCCAGGACCGGCCCTTGTGGGCACCTAGAGGACCCCGTGGCCCCCCCTCCAGGGGTCCTGGGGCCCCCAGGCTGGGCCCCTTTGGGAGGAGCTGGGCATGTCCGAGGCTCTAAGTGCACGCACAACTGTGAGGTTTGTTGAAGTTTCGACCAGCTCTGCGCTCCTGCCTGGTCCCACGCAGTGAGCACTGGCTGCCTTCGCGATGTGGGACCCGCAGACGCAAGTCAGTAAGAGGGCCTGCTGGTCTGTCACCCCTCACGCGGCAGGAAGAGCCCCCCCGAACTGAGGGCTGTGGGAGCCTCCAGGTGGGTCACTGACAAGCAGAAGCTGCCAATCAAGAGCTTCTTTCCCGCCCACCGCCCCCTGGTGACCAGTCCTGCAGAGCTGCCTTCTCCTGGAGCCTCTGTCTCATGAACAGGAGGAGCACCCTTTGCCCGGCTCAGCCTGTGGGTGTCAGTTTTATGCCAGGAGCACCCTTGTTGTTGTTCAACACGGTCCTTCTCTGAGGCTGTGCTTTTGTTTATAAGCGACGTGATAACCCCGTGCAACAACCCCCACCTGGAACCAGACGACGGACCAGAGCCCTCCCCGCTCCGCCTCCCCCGGGGCCACCCAGGCCGGGGACCCCAGGCCATCAGCTGGGACTACCTGAGGATGACTCCAAGGCTTTGATGCAAAATGCTTGCTTTATTTAACAAAAAACAACATACAAAGAAACAGGAACCAAATGGTCAAACTGCATAAAATAGCCAACATTTGCAACCGGGTCACCTCCCACAGGACAGCTCTCCCGTGGCAGGGCAGGTGGGCAGCGGTCTTGTCCCCGAGCCACAAACACACCTGCGCCACAGTCACACTCTAACTCCGTGAGCGTCCCCGCAGGACATGGGCGCTGCTTCCCGCTGAGAACCGGCTCAGTCCCTAGGCCACACCCCGTCGTCCCTGGCCAACGGCTGCCCTGGCTGGGGAGGAGGGGCAGCCGCCTGTCCTTCCCAGTCTCTGGTGGCCTGGGGCTGAGGGGCTGGAAATAGGGAAGCTCCCTCAGGGCCCAGGCTCTCCCGGGCCCCCCAGCTGTCTGTCCCAGTGAAGCCAGGACCCTGCCCTTGGGGGGAGGCCTCTGGCCCAGATCCCCGGTGGTCCTCCTCTGCTTCTGTTTTGTTCCAGGGAGAGTAAGAGAGGACCCTGAAGCCCCTCATCAGCAGGGCGGTGCCCGCAGGGACCAGCTGGGCACTGTGGCCTGGTGGGCAGCTCTCCAGGACGCTCAGCCCCCACGGGCTCAGGTGCTGGCCGGGCCTGGCTCTGGAGCTGCAGCTCACACGGGCCGTTGGGCTCCAGCAGCAGGCCCCAGCGCGGCCCTGGCATCCTCCGGACCCACCGTGGCGCCATGTGCAGCAAGCAGGTGCGGGGGGGGGGGGGGGGGGGGGGGGCGCCCACCATGGCCACGGCGGCAGGCGCAGCAGCCAGGTGTCTGCAGCAGCCAGATGTCGGCCAGTGCAAGGTCCACCTCCTGGGTGGCGACCAGCTCCGGCAGCATGGGCTCCCCTGGGGGCAGGATCTCGTGGGGGAAACTCTGGGTAAGACATAGGGGCTCGGCCAGGGGGAGCAGGTAGGAACCCCCCCAAATCTCCAGGGGAGGTCCTGGGTCCAGTCAGCGTGCTCGGGGCCCGGGCCCAGGCCCAGCGGTGCCGCGTTTTGAGGGGTCAGCTCGGTGGCATCAGGCCCAGCTCTTCGGACTCATCGGGGTCTGACGCCAGGGTGTCCGAGCCCCAGTCCCCAAGCCCACCCTGGTCGGGCTGCTCCAGGCCCTGCCACCCGCTGGGCCCATCCCCTGGGACGCCCTCCTCTGGCCCCGCCCCGGGTGCTGCCCCGCTCGGGGTCCCAGTCCTCCTCTTCCCAGGCCCCGCCTCCAGGGACTCCGTAAAGCTCAGGAAGAGGAGCCCGAAGCAGGGGAAGCAGAGCCTCAGCTGGTTCCTCTGCTGGAGCGGATACAACCGGAGCGCGCGGAGCCGGACACGCCCTCCCGGCCAGGCCGCTCCTGCCCGGGCTGCACAGGGCGGCGCGGCCTGCTCCTGGGGTGGACAGCACCTGCGGGGACCGCAGGGGGCAGGGAGGAGGGCCAGGGGTTCCTGTGCAGGGGTGTGGGGTGGGGGGACGCACTGGGTCCCAAATCCACAGGGACCTGCAAAAGTGGGGAGGGTGAACGTCTGGAAATTTCTTTAGCTGATGCAATTGCCCTGGTCTCCGGAGCGCTGTAAAGCAGCAGCCCAGGAGGTCAGGCGCCCCCTACAGGCCGGCGGGCGGGGCTCTGCTCGGTTCAGCGGCTCAGGCCTGAGTCACGTGACCCCTCCCCCACCAGCCCGACACCAACACCCAACCAGCCTCACCTGCCGGAGCCAGATGAAACCTAAGGGAACATGGTGGCACCGGCCAGAACCGGATGGACCCAGACAGGACCTAATGGAACCAGACAGAACCTTAGGAATCAAGATGGAACCGGACAGAACCTCACAGAACCCAGACCCTGAGCCGATGCCCCAGGCCACACTGGACAGTTCGGGCCCTTTAACGGCCCCCCCCTCTACCCGCCCCCCCCCCATGTTCCCGGGACCCTCTCACCCAGCGGACGCCTCCCTCCTCGGGGCGTCCCAGGGAAAGGAGGGGCGACTGCCGCCTGCGAATATAAAGGCTGGTTTCCCATGATGCCCTGGGCTTATCTGCATACGCCTGCGAGGCCCCACCCACCGCGCCTGAAACTGCTGAGTCAGCACAACCCCCGCACTGGGCGGCCACGTGCAGGTCCCCGCGCCATCTTGACACCTGTCCCTCCGGTCGGGGGCCGTTCCAGGCGGCTCTCTAGCCTCGGTTCCGGCACCGCGGCCCGTCCCTCCGTCCCTCCGTCCCTCCGTCCCTCCGACCCTCCGACCCTCCGACCCTCCGGTCCTCGTCCCTCCGTCCCTCCTGGCCCTGACCCGGGGG